GGGGTTAATCTCATTTCGTAAATGAGGAAAGTGAGGCAAAAAAAAAAGCGAGTGACCTGCTTAAGGTTGCAAAACCAGTAAATGAAAGAATGGGGATCCAACCCAGGTCCTTTTGTCTCCACTGCCACTTTATCAAAGTGCTGGACCATCAACATGATATAAGTGAGCTTCGTGGTAGCTTCGTGCTTCGAGCACCCTGTCCAAAATGTCATATTACTTGTCACATTGAGCCTTTAAGTCCCGGAGTGTTACAACTGAGGCATATTGAAGGGCCATCTAGACCAGTGCCCTCATCTTCGTCCAGTTGAATGCCCTAGCTTATGCAGCTAGGAGTGGCAGGAGGTTGGGGAGTCTCATGCATGGAGAACTTTAATCATGATCGAAATGCAGCCCACTGACCCTAATAGGCTCTCAGTGATGAGAGGGGTGGACCGTATGTTCACTCCATGTTCATTCTCACTGCTTGGAGGAGGAAGAGGAAGTCAAGAAAGGTGACTGAAGGGGTGACATGAGCTGGATTTTGAAAGACAGTGGTAGGTCAGATTTCGTGACACAAATTCTGTTCACATGATGCCATGTTACTGGATTTGAGAGACAGGAAGATGTGTAAAGAGGCTACAGTGATATTAAATCCAGATGGTAGAAGCTAAGAGCTACTGAAATGCAAAAGTTTAGTCTGGCTTCAGCTTGCCAATGGGGACTGGCCAGAGATGAGACTGGCCAGGTGAACAAGTGAAAGGTTAAAGTCATGCTAGAGGTTGGATATCTTTTCTGAGGGAGACTGGGAATTTTAAGCGAGAGAGAGAGGTGTCAGACGTGTGGTTTATGAAGACCGTTGTGGCATCTGAGTGGGAGACGACTGAAAGGAAGAAATGAGAACTGAGCCATTAGGGGCATTTTGCTACTGCAAGCAATGCACAAAATAAGGAATGGTAAAGGTGGAAAGGCCCAGATTGGATAGATATGTGGGAGACAGAATTGGTGGGTCCTTGTGATGGGGTGTGGGGGTGGAGTGAGGGAGCAGAAACTGAGGGTGACTCCTAGCTTTCTGGGTTTGGGGTAACAGGTAGATGATGGAATCCTTTACTAAAATATAGGTTGTAGGAAAATCTGTTTAGAGGTCAGTTTTGGACCTCATGAGTTTGGAGAACTAGTGGGCAATGGATGGGAATGAGAATGGACTGCTGACACTCGAGTGTGGAGCTCGAGAGAGAGATCCAGGCTAAATCCTAGATTTATGAACAGGGAGGTGGCATTACCCAAGAGAAGATGTAGAAGAGAATAGGGCCTAGGGCAGAAGCCCAGGAATACAGACACACAAGGATGAGTCTCAGGGTAAAGGCCAGCCTTCCTTCACAGCCTTGCTCAAGGCTCCCCACACAAGTAAGATCTGAGAGAAAACTCCCCAGTCTCCATAGAAGGAATCTGTTTCCAAAGCACGGCTTGCAGAATGTTAGTCCAGACCAGGGGTGGGCAGACTTTTCTGTAAAGAGCCAGATAGTAAATATTTTAGGCTCTGCAGGTCCCTGTCACAACTACTTAACTCTCCCATTGCAAGGGGAAAGCAGCCATAAACAATATGTAAAATTTAAAAAATAATTTTTAATGGGTGTGGCTAGGTTCCAATAAGACTTTATTTGCAAAAACAGAAGGACTGGATCTGGCCCTGAGCTGTAGTTTGCTGGTTCCTGGCCCAGGTCTTACCCCATTATGTTAGTCGCCGAGAGGCAGACTGGTCTCTCCTAGTTTGTGAAGTCCTTTGGTGGAAAAAGCCGTATCTCGTCTTATATGTCCTAGGTTTCCTGGTGACAAGTACAGTGCTCAGTACAGAGCAAGCGTTTAAAAAGCATCTGCTTGTTAGTTGGGATGACAGCGTTCACGCCAGACGGACCTTGATGTCATCACATCATCATCCTGCTTTGTTCTTAAATTCAGTGACTTGCCCAAGGTTGTTTCCACCCGGAACAGGGACTAGTCTCCAGCCAGGCCTGCCGATGTGAGGCAAGTCTGTGACCTTCACTTTCTAACAGTGTATTGATGGCTTTTGCCTTCAGGAATCGCTTCATCAGTCTTTGTTGGAGGAAAGCATTAAAGGGCACATATGAAATCGTAGTTGTGAAAACACTAACTAGTATCTATTGAGATCTTACTAAGTGTCAGGTACTCTGCTTGGTTCTTCCAGAAATTAGATTACGGAGTCCTTAACAACAGACAGATGGGAGCAGTCACTATTATTACCTTTAGTAGAGGAGGAAACGGCCACCCCGCGAGCTCAGGTGACTTGTGTGGCCACTGTGCCCACGTGTGCCAGGGTGGAGGCACAGCACGAACCTGCTTGCTGTGTGTGGTTCTCGATTCAATTTTCGTAGCTGCCCATTACTTGTCCTGCCCACTTCATGAAACTGTCGTGAAAGTCAATTAAATCATGTATGTGGGAGGGACAATTTTGAAAGATGATAGAAATTTAAGGTGAGATTACAGGATACTTGTATTAATGAAAAGAATCACATGGCTCTTTATGCCACCAGCAGGAGGAGGATTATGGAGAGGGAGAAGATGACGCAGAGGTCCAGCAAGAATGCCTGCATAAGTTTTCTACCCGAGATTATATAATGGAGCCCTCCATCTTCAACACTCTGAAGAGGTGTGTGAGCAAGGTCATTTGTATTGGGAGGGGGCCGGGGGTAACTTAGAGACAGTCCGTCAGAGACCCAGAGGATGATGTGCACAAGTGAGAATGATGGGGTTTTCGAATGGAAGGCTTCTAGTTCTGCCCCCCCCAGCCATCTTAATATCCTAGCTATCTCGTCCTTGATCCCCATGCCCATGCTGTAGCTTTTCTGTTCCTTTTTCTAGGTATTTTCAGGCAGGAGGGTCTCCGGAGAACGTTATCCAGCTCTTATCTGAGAACTACACGGCCGTGGCCCAGACTGTGAACCTGCTGGCTGAGTGGCTCATTCAGACAGGTGCTTTGTGGGTGGCCCCCATCCTGGCTGGTCACTCCCACCACCCCCCACCTTTTTTATAGACCTTTGGATCATCTTAATGCTGATGAATTGGAATGGCTTTGTTTGTTTTCTTGGGTTTGAAGACTTCTGTAAGTCGGAACCGAACTTCTTACCCCTCCTCGTCTGCTTGATTCTGATCTTTGGTTCAGTAATGGAGGTTTACAGATAGCCTGCAAATATGATTCTCATTGAGCTGTTTGCCCTACCATGTTGTAGAATTATAGGATTATACAGTATATGTTCAGTGTGTCATTTTTAAGAGATCTGTTATAGCAGGCAGTAATTGATGGATAATGTGGGACTGGGTATGATTACGGCTTTTAGCTAATATGATCAAAGTAGAGCCTGTAAGTCCACTGAGCTGGGTGCGGATGACATCAGGGGGTAGGGCTGCCACAGCACTTAAGAGACAGTGCGCCTCTTGTGGCTGGCGTCTGCTCTCTTCCACCATGGCGGGAATGTCTTTCCATCCTCCTACCTGTCTGTGTTGGCCGTTTGTCCTTGCCCTTACTGAGGTTTCCAAGATGCCGCTGGCCTTTCCATGTAGGCCAACATCCTTGTGTGTTCCGCCCTGTGTTCCTTTTTGAGTCTTACCACTGAATATGGTTAACAAATAGTAATTTTTATGAGCGGTCCCAAATTCCAAGTGGTCAGAAGCAGTTTTGTGATCTTTGATCCACATGTAGACTTTTCACCTGTCTACTTTTCCTAAAGGAGTACAACAGATTGAGGGATTGCCATTTTCCATCTGGTTGTTTTCATTTTCTTACAGGTGTTGAACCAGTGCAGGTTCAGGAAACAGTGGAAAATCACCTGAAGAGTTTATTGATCAAACATTTTGACCCCCGCAAAGCAGATTCTATTTTTACTGAAGAAGGAGAGGTGAGGAGTCTGTCTTCTTTCTCTAATATGGGTTCCTGGGATCTTTTGCTTGTTCCACGCATACAGTGGAGTGTGCTGTGTTATGTGAGTAAAGCGTTGGGTCCTAAAATCAGGGTGTGAGATGAGTTGCGTAGAGTCAGAGCTGCCCTCTAAATGCTCCGTGCAGTGTGGTGAGCTCTCGTGAGCGGAGAGGCGCACACGTAGTGAGCTGGGGAGGAGGAAGAGCAGACCCCCAGCTCCCGTGTCCTGCTGACTCTGGAGCACAGGCTCTGAGTGGAGTGCTGTAGTCATCTGGGTGCCCCAGCAAGCAGACGCCAGGACGGGGTTGTGTGTGCAGGAGATGACGGGGGACGTGTGTGTGAGAGAAGATGAGCAGGGGCCGGAGGGCCATGATGCAGGTGTGGCCCCCGAAGGCCGGAGGGAGGGAAGGAAGGTTGGGGACAAAGAGCCCTAGGTGACAGTGCCATTTTCAGAAAGTTTCCGCAGTGTCAGTGAGGCCCAGGTCTCCTGGGAACAGGCCTGCCTGTGGAGCCCTGCCACGCTCAGTTGGTGGCTGGGAGTGTCCGGTGGGAAGCCTGGCCTTGGCACAAATGAGAGGTGGACTCAGAGTCAGCCCTTGGGTGTGTCAGTCACACATGGTGATGGATAAAACCACTGTGCTACTACACGGCCTTTTCCTCCTGCCCAGGGCACACAGCTGATGTGCGTCTGCTGCAGCCCCTCTCCGTGGGCTTCCCTAGACTCTGGCATGTTTCCCGGAAGTGCGGTTGAGCCTTCCCGAAGCTGTGAGTGGGCCCTCAGGGCTCTGGCGCTGCCACTCAGCCTCCTATGTGGCATCACCAGCTCTGGGTCTGCTTCCGCGGCTGGGACTGCGGGGCTGGATCTAGATGCTCTCGGGGGCTCTTCCAGATGGGATAGCCAGCCACTGTTTATACAGTATCATCTTCACTTAAGCTCAAGCTAGGCCTTTTATCTTGCCGTCTGTTTGTTTGTTGGCAGACCCCAGCTTGGCTTGAACAAATGATTGCACATACCACGTGGAGAGATCTTTTTTACAAACTGGCTGAAGCCCATCCAGACTGCTTGATGCTTAACTTCACCGTTAAGGTAGGCAGAGTACTAGAGTCACAGAAAAGGTGAAGGTGCTGAAGAACGAGAGTTATTTTGGGTTGGTTGGGAGGTGGTCTGTTTCTTCTGCAAGCTCGTATTTGGTTTTTGGTAAAGGTCTCTATCACTTCACTTCAGTAAGTCTGAACAGTGAGAGAGAAAAGCACAGAAGATGTATCTCTGGGGTTTCTGGTTTTTTTGTTTTGTTTTTTAAAGATTTTGTTTTTAAGTAATGTCCGCACCCAGTGTGGGGCTCGAACTTTTAACCCCAAGATCAAGAGTCACATGCTCCACCGACTGAGCCAGCCAGGCACCCTCATATCTGTGTTTTTGGATCAACATGAACTCTGTTTTAAAACTTGGCAGGAACATATTTATAGAGTCTGTTGTGTGCTGAGAGGAATCTTTAAGAATGCCTGGTTTGGGGCGCCTGGCTGGCTCAGTCGGAGCATGCGACTCTTGACCTCAGGGTCGTGAGTTCAAGCCCCACGTTGGGCTCAGGGATTACTTAAAAAGAGAAAAAAAAAAAAAAAAGAATGCCTGGTTTGTCCCCTTCATGTGACACACGAAGGAACCAAGATGGGATGGTTAACCTGGGCTGCAGCCCTAGTCAGTGGCAAGGCCGGGATCAGAATAAAGGTCTGAGACCTGAGAGCAGTGTTTGCTCGGCCCCACCTCACCACAAACACTGACGATAAGCCAGCTTCCTATGCAGTGTGGTCACTGCCTATTGATGCTTTGTTTGGCTTCTTATTTTTGTATTGTAGCTTATTTCTGATGCAGGGTACCAAGGGGAGATAACCAGTGTATCCACAGCCTGCCAGCAGTTGGAAGTGTTTTCTAGAGTACTCCGTACCTCTCTAGCTACAATTTTGGATGGAGGAGAGGAAAACCTTGAAAAAAATCTCCCTGAGTTTGCCGTAAGTTCCTTCTTTTGTGTATCTCAAGATTAGAAGGAGGCTGCTTTGGGTCATGCATATTCAAACATGAAATGCTTCTTCCTATAGACAGTGTCCAGGTCAGAAGGCCCGTTCCAGCATAAATAACTTGCATGCAGAAAGGTTGGGGGTCTGGCTTTTTTGTCGACAGTTGTCAGCGCTGCAACCGTGAAAGCCCAAACTCTCTCCCCTGCAATTTTTCAGAAAATGGTGTGCCACGGGGAGCACACGTACCTGTTTGCCCAGGCCATGATGTCGGTGCTGGCCCAGGAAGAGCAGGGAGGCTCCGCCGTGCGTAGGATTGCTCAGGAGGTGCAGCGCTTCGCCCAGGAGAAGTGAGGGCCGTGTTTTTGCTAGCCCTGGTCCTAACTAGGTGCTCCCCACGAAATTCCCCCCCACACCCCCCTTGCCCTTTCTCTACAACCAGAGGCTCTGGGTCCTCCTATCTTGACAGATAAACTTCCTTTTACCTAGTACATCTGGAAAAGTCAGGGTAATTTTAAATACGTGTAGAGAGCTTGCTTTCTGAAGTTTGGCTTTGATGAGTATTTTGTAAAGTAACTGATTATTGTTCAATTCACTGGATCTGTGAACCTGTACTCTCATATATTAGGATTCATCAATAGCAAATAATAGTGGTCCTGAAATAGTCAGTAGTCTAATTGTTATATTGTAGTCTGTATCTTACAGAACAAAATGAGCCCTTGTGAGTTTATCCTCCACTAATGGAGTCTTAGTGATATGTTAAAAGCGTGTGGCTCCTTTTGGAAAGTCTGCAAGCTGCATCCAGTCCGTCCTTCCCAGTTAGCTTTAAGTGCTGTTTTTATGGGTCGGTCAGGTTCCCAGTGAATGACAGAAAAATGAAAAACAAAGGGACCCAAGCAGTCCCAAGTGTTAGGTGTGAAAAAAGGAAGGAGAGCGGCAGAGGAGGAAGGAGGGGCAGGGCAGGGCGCCACCTTCTTAACAACGGGGTATGGGCTTTCTTTCCTCAAGAGGCCATGACGCCAGTCAGATCACACTAGCACTGGGTACAGCTGCCTCCTACCCCAGGGCCTGTCAGGCCCTTGGGGCTATGCTGTCCAAAGGAGCCCTGAATCCAGCTGACATCACAGTCCTGTTCAAGATGTTTACAAGCATGGACCCACCCCCCGTTGAACTCGTAAGTTGCTTTCATTTTAATAATAAGGTGGGACACCCTCCATGCCGATGAGAAGGGTTATTTTGGAAAGCCCGTGTTTCTCTTAAGTCACTGAGTACAAATCCATGTTCGTCTGTTTCTGCCCTTTTCCTCGTCCTTCCCCATCACATCCTCAGCCCTCGCGCACACTGGGACACCTGCCAGCTTGAGCACAGGAGGGTGGATGTGAGTGGGCATGCCCTCACTCCTGCCGTTAAGTGTATGTGGACTTACCTGACATCTCTTCCGTGCGTTCCTTTCCAATGATACCATGTGTCCCCTCAGATCCGGGTGCCGGCCTTCCTGGACCTGTTCATGCAGTCGCTCTTTAAGCCAGGGGCCAGAATCAACCAGGACCACAAGCACAAATACATCCATATCTTGGCCTACGCAGCAAGTGTGGTTGAGACCTGGAAAAAGGTACTATCAGTTGAGAATTCCTGGGCTTTTTGGGAGACAAGGAACCTCCTCTCTTGGGTATTATTTGGGAATTTTGGCTGCAAGAAGTCATGAACCCAACTCGTGTCAGAAATATCTTTTTTAGTGTTCATGCATGAAATAGTCGAAGTGCTAAATCTCTCAAGGAAATGGGTATGGCATCTGTAAGACTTTTTCAAACTGGAATTGAAAGTGCAGCTAAAGAAACCGACCAGGTCTCCCCCCGCCCCAGGCCCAGGTCCCCTGGCTTGTTTCCGTAAGCCGGGCGACTGGAGTGCAGCAGCTGAGCTGACTCCTGACCCCAGGGATGGGGAGGGGTCTGCAGGGAGAGGCGGCCGGTAGCAGACCACCCCGCCTGCAAGGCCACGCACGCCATCGGGATTCACGGACTCGCGTGTGTGTTCTCAGAACAAACGCGTGGGCATCAACAAGGACGAGCTGAAGTCAACGTCGAAAGCTGTGGAAACCGTTCACAATTTGTGCTGTAACGAGAACAAAGGGGCCTCCGAGCTGGTGGCAGAGCTGAGCACGCTTTATCAGTGCATCAGGTGAGCAAAATCAAACCTCGTTCTAAACTGGATCCTTCTGGAGGGGGTGGTCTGAGTTTTCATTTTATTAAAAGCTCAAAAAAATATGTAACGAAAGCTTCAGAGATACTTATTGATTTTATGTTTTCTTTTTAAAATGTAGATAGAGAACTTTGAACTGTTTTAGCAGCACGAGTAATGCTCAGCTGCTTACCTGCCAGAAGTCTGTTCATAAATTAAGCCTCAGAAAAAGGAAGACCCACCAGAATTACAAAAGCTGCTTGAAAGAAAGGGGTCTATTTGTAGTACATGTTAGGCCGACAAGGTATTGCTTAGCTGGAAAGGACGTGTGACCATAGCAATGGTATAAACCCACAGTCAGAAGAGCTTACAAATAGGGCGATCCCTTGGGCAGTCGAGTCTTTCCCCTGGTAATTTGTGCTCGGGACAAGGAAAGGGTTTACTAAATAGAACTTCAACCCAGTCCGAGCTCCCTGAGTGTTCTGCATAAATGATCTTGTCCTTCCAAACCAATAATGTGGCTTAAAGTAAGCCGATAAGGGAGGTCGGGGTCTTGTACGGCATGTTGAGAGGATGCTGACCTCAGACTGACTCACGGACAAGCATCTCCCTGGCAGAACACATTGGGAGTGACTTGCTGGGGTAGATGGAGTGGCGGTGGGTTTTTAAACGTTCCCAACCGTTTAGTTTGGGTGGTGGTGGTGGTTTTTTTTAAACTTCATGTAAAGGAAGCTCTGTGCCTTACTTGTACCCGTAGGTTTCCAGTGGTAGCAATGGGTGTGCTGAAGTGGGTGGACTGGACCGTGTCTGAGCCCAGGTACTTCCAGCTGCAGACTGACCACACCCCGGTGCACCTGGCCTTGCTGGATGAGGTAGGAGGGCCACAGGGCCAGGGATGGCACTGTCTGTACCTTACCCTGCTCGGGCCCGGCCTGCCGGGACATCTGTTCACTGAATGCAGGAGCTGCTCTGTACAGGGCTGGCTACTTTCTATCCTTAACGAGGATTTTCCTTTTACGGAACTAGTTTCATTGGTTCCATAGATTTGCAGTTTTCAGCAAGTGTTTTGAAAGGATGAGGAATGGCACAGAAGCTGACGGGCTGCGGGCTGGCTGCTGAGGCCTGCCATCATGGGCACCCGCCGTGAGCCAGCTGTGACCATTGCTGACGGTTCTCTGCACTGATGGTGAGCCCAGAGACCCGGCTGCAGTGCTCAGCGGGGCTCTCTTTGGCGTGTTTGTAGATCAGCACCTGCCACCAGCTCCTGCACCCTCAGGTCCTGCAGCTGCTTGTTAAGCTTTTTGAGACAGAGCACTCCCAGCTGGACGTGATGGAGCAGGTGAGCGGGTGGCCCTCGGGCGTCGTGGAGGCTCGGGGCGAGGACCCGTTCTGACAGATCTGTCTGCCCCCGCTCTCGTAGCTTGAGTTGAAGAAGACCCTGTTGGACAGGATGGTTCACCTGCTGAGTCGAGGTTATGTACTTCCTGTTGTCAGTTACATCCGAAAGTGTCTGGAGAAGCTGGACACTGACATTTCACTCATTCGCTATTTTGTAACTGAGGTCAGCAATACACCGTTTGTTTCATGTTTCATACTGTTGCCTTTTGGCTTAAATTTAGTTTATTTTGTACCTAACTCTGAGACCTGTGCTTTCTGATAATCGGGGTGACGGCAATGATTAGATACCAGTTTACCAAGCCCCTCCCGCCTGCAGGAGCCATATTGTTTTACCTACATAACCACCTGGGTGTCTTAGTTTTGGAGACTGTTGTCATCGGGAAGTGGAAAGGGTGGGGAGGGGAGGGTGGTTTTCTCCAAACTGATTGCCATTTCATCAGGTGGTGGGGACGCTGCTCAGAGACTGTGCGGGGAGTGACCTGGTGTTCTCTCCTCCTAGGTACTGGATGTCATTGCTCCTCCGTACACCTCTGACTTTGTGCAGCTTTTCCTCCCCATCTTGGAAAACGACAGCATCGCCGGCACCATTAAAACAGAAGGTGAACATGACCCCGTGACGGAGTTTATAGGTAGGGTTGACATGTGTGTCCCTTTGCTGCAACTTTAAAGGTCATTGTTCACCTCCTGTTTCTAACCCAGTGCCTGTTTTCTTTCTGTTTGTGAAAGCTCACTGCAAGTCCAACTTCATCCTGGTGAACTAATTTACAGCATCCTCCAGAGCTGACCCAGAACGTTCCAGGAGCCCAGCAGGGGGAAAGCCCTTCCGGAAGCTCTTGCTGAAGAGGCCCAGTCAGCATCCTGGGACTGGGCTCTGGTGGGAGGAGGTGGGTGACTGTTTGTATGGCCACTAGTGCAGATGGCCCCTTTCCTCAGAGTCCGGGCTGCCCTTGCACCCTGCTGACCACGTTCCTTTCCCCCCAGCACAGGAGCTGGGTCCCTCCCATGGTGGCGGGGAGCTCAGAACCTGAGACATGTAGATGAACCACCTTCCAAGGTGACTTTTCTTACAAGAACCCGGTTAGTTGATCTTTTATTGTCATTGTTTTAATTTTCCAAGAATAAAAAGCCTTTCTGCTGGATTGGCAGGTGGAGATCCTGGTGTTCTCATTCTCGTGTGTAAATAAGGCACGCTCAGGCTCTGCTCGTGCGGGGAGTCACGTATTTTATTCATCACTTGGGCAATCTCAAGCGGCCATCTTCTATCTCCTTCCACCCCCACCACTGACTCCAGGGTGACCTAAGAACTGGTGATAAGTCTGCCCTTCTTTACCATATTATAGACCACACTGCCAAATAGGAAACACCAAATCATGGATTGAAGAGGCTGGAGGTCCCGTCATTACGGCCTTGCGGATCACACCTTGGCCAGGCTGACCGCTGCCATCCTGGTGGTAGGGGCGCTGCCGGCACGGGGCTCCCAGCCTTCCCGTTTCCTCCCCCGGGAGCGCGCTTGCGGCCAGCGCCACCGCAGTCTGCAGGTCGACACGCGCCCCTGCTAGGCGCTCAGTGCTGTGACCAGCCATCAGAGCGTGTTGAATGCCAGCCCCTAGTCCCTTCAGACCGTGGTGGTACCAGCCCAGTGCCCAGAGCGAGCGGACCCCCTCTGACTGTGGTTCACGATAACACTGCTCTTCTGGAGACCTGCGCCTTAAACGATGGGGTCCCCAAATGTACAGTACTCCTCCACAGCAAGGTTGTAACTGGCACCCTTCCCATCCTTATAGGTGCTGGTCACTATCCGCATCCAGCCGTGCTCACCCTGTGGGGGAGGGGTGACACGTTAGGTCCCCACATGCCCGTCTCGTGTGGCTCCTGCTCTCCACCTGCACCCTGACCCTCCGCCCCCCTCACCACAGCCTCTGGCTTGGGTGCTCCTGCCCTGGCGCGGGACCCCGACTCCCAAGTACCGTCTGTGAGATACTTTTACTTGGTTAACATTTAACAAGCAGGGTGCCTGGCCCTGTACGCCAAAAAGCAAATGAATGTAACTAGAATATTGACTCTTCGGGCCAGATGACTTAACTACCTATTAATATCCCCGGGTTCTAGTCCTTTCATCAAAAGTATTGACATTTCGTCACCTCAACATTAATCACTCTCCCCCACTTCGGGGTAATGAGTTTCTGTGTCTTAGGCTCTTAATGGTTAATACTGGGTCTTAGAAATGAAAATTCTGGCAGTTAATTTATCTCCCCTGGATTTCTAACCCAACTCAAAAGTAATTCTGAAAAAACTCCACTGTGACTTGGGAGAGCCGAGACTGTGACAGCAGAAGGGACAAGACGGTTGTAAAGGAAAAATCGAGCTGAACTGAACGTTGCAGAATAGCCTTTTGCAACCAGGGCGGGGGCTCCCAGGAGACCCCTGGCAGTGACTGGAGACACTGTCGGCCGCCCCCCCCCCCCCCCCCCCCGGGGGCGGGGGGGAGCCACTGGCGTCTGACGGGTGGGGCCAGGGATGCGGCCACACACGCCACGACCTGCAGGACAGCGACAGCCCGCCCTCCCCGCCGGCAGAGCGCGACCCCAGGCGTCACTAGCGCTTCCCCTGGGCGGGCGCAGGAAGCCCCTCCGCTCGGGGCCGCACTTCGCGGCTGGGAAGCCACCAGCAGCAGGGCCGGAGGCGGGGGGCGGGGGGCGGGGGGTCTGCGAACATCTTACCCACGGTTCCCCCCACGAGTTCCGGACAATCCAGTACTCCGTGCCGTCGCTGACGCCCCAGCCGACCACAGAGATGATGTGGTTTATGTAGGCATGGTCATGGTACTCGGCGTAGACGCCGCCCGTGTAGTTCACCATCTTCTCCGTCGCCATGATACCGCAGCTGAGCGCAAGGCGTCCGAGAGTGAGCCCCTCGCGCCGACAACTTCCCCGCTGCTG